TTTCCAAATCTACACTACTTCAGGCTTTCAGCTAATTAATTGGATGCCGCCTTTGTTATTTACAAGGGGATCGTGTTGATAAGTTATAGTTCATTTTGGGCCAGTGCTTCCTTGATGATTGATTAGCACCATTTGAAACAAGTCCAGAGAAGTTATATGAAATGCTCTGGGCCTGCAGTGGGTTGTCCAGCTGCTAAATCAGCAGAGTCAGGAAAACACCGTGCACACTAATTCGGGAATGCTTTTCCTGCGTGCTCTCTGCTGAGCCACACGCTGGTAATGCTGCCTTTAGTAAGGAGAAGAGCCTTGTTTTAGAGGCACTGTGGCCAAGCTGCTTCTCAAATATCAAAACGTGTCTTAGACTGTGCTGCAAAGGTGACTTTTCTGCTCTCCTCTGTGCAGCCATAGGAATAAGAGGAGGTGGTTGGCTTTCCTTCCCACTCCTTACAAATTAAAGCCATGGCAGGCACCTGAAAGCTGCTTGATATCACTGATGACTTGTGTTCCGATGATTTGCAACCTGTTTGTGATTTGTGTGTGAGGTGAATTTAGTAAACATGAAGATATTTCTTCACAGCAGCTTGTTTTCTGGAAGGCAAGAGGGGAAGCAGCACAGTTGTGTTGCTTGCTTAAATTGAGAGCAACAAGAGTGAATGTGTTTGCACAAGGAAGGAATACGAGGATTTTTAATTCACTGCAACTAGAAACTGTTCAATGCGGGAGGTGGATAGAAAGCCTGAGTCATGGGTCCAGTAAAATCTGGGATAACCAGCTACTTGGGGTTTTTTTATCTAAAAGGAAACAGACCTGAAGTTTTCATCCACTCCAGCGGTCTCTGATGGTCAGTTAAGTGACATGAGTTTTAGAGTAAGCTCAGGAGCTACATTCCAAGTTAGTGATTATTTTATGTGTATATATATACAGCTACAAGTATTATTGCATGCCCTACTACAAGGGGGAGTGGAAGGCCAACGTGTAAGAGCAGGTGGGTGAGAAGCGTATGACACCCTTCACTGAGCAAGTTGAAGGCAACTATTTGACCTAGCCATACATAGCTGGATCATATATCTGAAATCACCATTTAAAGAACTCTTCAGTATGTCAATGCGGCAAAAGTCTTTGGGGATTGTTCTAAAAAGATCCTCAGGCTGGAGCGTGTGCAGCACTGGAGACACTTACTGAGAAGCCTTTGTGGGCAAATAGTTGGTACAAAAGAAACTTTCCCAAGAGGTGGTGTTTGACAGCTACAGCAGATACTTCAAATGCAAGCTTGTCTTGAATTAGAGTTCAAATAGGCAATGAAGTTATTGTGGCTTGAAAGTTTTTCATGCTTCAGCTGAGCCATAACGACTGTTTGTGGGTGTGTTCTTAGTCCACAGAAAATGACAATGCAAGGATGAACAACATCCCAATCCAAATGGTGGGTGAAGAAGGTGTGCAGCTGTTGAATGTGATGTGTTTTTGTGTGTGCAGCCAGGCAGGGAAATGAAAAGGCTAAAGTGTCCTTAAATCCATGCCTGACTTAACTCAGACTGCAGGGTAAACTACTGCACATTTCTTTACAGTCGTTCTAGGCTGAAAGCAGGCATGAGGACGGCTGCCATCACTCGGTTAATGTGCAGTAACCTGTTCCTCCAAATAGACCATGTGTGAATTTAGAGGACTGATCCTACCGCTTGAACCCACAGCATACATCCAGCATAGTCACTTTCTTCACAAATTAGAACTAGAAATAGAGAAAGAAATATATTTTTGAGTCCTCTAGTCCAAAAATGCAGACCCACATACAAAGATTCAGAGGCTCCATTCTGGCAGCATCTGCACTCTGGCAGCAGGTCTGTCCTTACTGAACACTTCCCCTTACGGACAGCCTTGGGGCTGGTCACAGGGGAAACAAAAAAGAGACAACAATATTGTCTTCAGCAAAAAGAGTCCTGCAGGAGGTTATTGGCAAATAGCTTGGGAGCAGATTTACAGCTAAATATGAAGCACTGCAAAAAAGGTTACGATCTAAATTTAAGTCACGTTCCTCTCTCCCTCTAATAGTATTTTTCAGACTAGTGGACTCACAACTAGTTTTTGGTGCTGAACTGACTTCAGAACATTAGACATGCCCATTTCAAATGTTTTTCTCTTTGCTCCGCTTCTCTTAGTGATGAAAGAAGATTTTTTTTTAACATCATCCTAAATCCCTTTAGCTTTATATTTGGGAAAGATGATAGATTTCATTAAAAAGTGCCTTTGGAGGGGTATTTCTTATTCTGAGTCCAAGGTTATGTTTTTACACATGGAAGGTCTATCCTAATTGTTTTACATTTCATGCTTAAAAGACCTTTTTTTCCCCTCAAATGAGTTGTAACTGGCTCCATTCCAAAATGGCACATTTGCTATTAGTCAGCTTTTTCCTAAATAACTTAGTTTTCATAAAACAGGAGAACAACAGCTGTTAGGACTTCTTGTTTTATAACAAGCTCATCAATTTACTTTACTTTTCACAAAACAGAGGGTAATGCCACATAGCGGGGTACAGAATGGGTAGAAGCAGACTGAAATCCCAAGTATTCCTACTGGGCTATTTATTTACTGGGCTATTTATTTGATTGTATTCTTATTGGCTTTCCAGTTGTACAGCTATCAGTGATGGCAGTAGAAAGTAAAGCTTAGAGGAATTGGCCATTATATCTACATAAATATATGTAAGTGAAAAACAGTCTAAATTACAATATGCTTCATATTATAATAGTACTGGCCAATATTGCTGGTTAGGTAAAAACTGTAGAGGAAAGATGCACTGTTCAATTTATAATTGCCTTTCTGTGGGAAGCACGCATTGCCTGAGATTTTGAAGTAATCCTTTGTAGAGCAATCCTTTATCCCATCCATAGCAGTTTTTCATTCACTGATCTCCCTAGGCTTTACACAAGAAAGAAAGTGTTATTATCCCATTGTAGCAGGGAGGAAAACTAAGGTGAAGTGGCCTCTTCCAAAGCCTGAGAGAAATGGCAAGGGAGGATGAAAAGCACAAGGATTTTACATCAGTAGCAATCTTGGTTGTGAGCTTTAAAGCCTACAATACTGCCAACTTCTTGGCTAGAGGGTCCCAGTATTTGGGAAGGTGGAAGGCACGAGGCTGACTGGTTCCACTGCCCTGGCATTGGGTTGCGCTGCACCTGACCAAGACGATACACATAAGCACTCTTCCTTGGTCTTTCCTTGCTACCACCATGTCGGGGTTGGGAGATATCGTTCATGAGCATTAGGGCACAAGGCAGAGGACATCACTCTCCACGTGCAGTGAGCCATCTCCTCCCAGCGTTCAAGAGGCCCAGTAATGGCGTGCAGAGGAACTGGAGGTGGTTCCCCTCCATGCCTTGGATGTGTGGCTCAGAACTCTGAGCTGTCTTTGGAGCTGTGTCTGCAACACACTGCGCTTCAACTAATTCCATAACATAAATCTTGGAAAGGTTTTTTAACTTGGAAGCAGTGATGTGCAAATGTGGCTGTGCTGATTCCAGACTTTCACTGCTAATGAACTCTTCTTGTGCTACTTGTTTTTTAGAAATCTTCTTGCGTAGGCCTTTGCTACATGAAAAATTTCTTCTACATCATACTTCATTATATAGTGTAGGTATATGTTAAACGTGTCATACCCACAGGGCGAAATGGCAGCACTGAACAATCAGAGTTTAATACACTGTGTGTTAATTTCCCCACTTAATTGTCTGCAGTAGGGAGTCTGACACCTAATTAGGGCAAACCCCACCAGTCTTGTTAAGCTGTGGTCACCCCTATTGCTAAGATCACTTCAGCTGATCAGGTATTAGACCTGATGGGATATTATATTTACAACTTCTTATTCATGACAAAATTTCAGCTTCCTACAAATTCAGAGTGGCAACTTCTTACAGATATCCCTCGTATGTGCACAGGAGAACCTGTTCTTTTGAGAAAAAGTGATAAAGTCATCCATGCTACATCTCATGTTAAAAGGTGAGGTGATTCAGGTTGTAGTACCTTCTCCTGGGCAAAATGCTATTCATGATTTATAAATTCAAGAGGGCCTTGCACTGGCTAAAGGCACACAAACCCTCAAATTAGCAGTAGTTTTAAATTGCGTTTGCAGTAAGCAGCACAAAACCCTGGTTATTCCAGACTTGGTGTTGGTTCACCTGTGTCCATTGCTGACTGACTTCTGTTGGCTTCACTGAATGGTTTTTATAATGCACACATGATTAAAAGTGTGTTGTTAAAAAGCAAGCAGGGACAGTGACACTGAGTAACAGAAGTGATTTCTGCTCAAAGCAGAAGAATATGAAAGTCAGAAAGAGAGGGAGAGTATTATAGAGTCTAAAACAATGTGACGGATCCATCCTTATTAAGAATGAATAAAAAAATATAAATCTGACTTTCAAAATATTTTTTTAATGTTTCTCTATAAGAACTTATGAGTTTAACAACATGATGGGCACTTCATGAAAGGCGCAGGCTCAGACTGAAAACTGAACCATTTCTTAGCCAAACATCTCTTAAGGAAAAATCCTTCCATCAAAAAAATCTGTAACTGCCAATATTACATGGAAGATACACATGGAAGACAGAGATTGGGGGTTATGGGGGAGCACATGTTTACTGATGAGAAAGTTCTCCATTCTAGAAGCTCATTTAATTTTGAAATGCTCCAGTTATAAAAAAAAAAAAAGCGCACACCATGTTTTCCTTTCTCGTCTACATTTCAGTAAATGTAAAATAATAAATGTAAACCAATTTAACGTACATTTCATTTCCTTTCTAAAATCACTAAGTGTAGCAAAATATATTTTTCTTGTTTATCCTCAGAGGGCCCTATGCCTAATTGATACTACAGTGTATGAAGAATGTAGGATTAGGCACTAAAGAACACCACAGTGCTGCTGTCAGCTTATTTTGTTAACCCAGATTGTTGTTTCTCTATGGTTACTTGTAGCAACTGTATAGACAGACATGGCATGATTATTCCTTACCAGCTCATTGCTGCCATCCTCATCAAAATCCTCCTCTATCCCATCAGTCATATCTTCTCCATCCCCATCTGCATCTGGCCCTCCTTCAATTGGCTCTTCTGTAGAGTTATCTGCATTCTCTGATATGCATTCCTCTTGAATCAAATCAGCATTGTCTTCCATTTGTTTCTTTTGAGCTTCTGTAAGGAAAACATACTCTATAGAGATTCAGTAACCTTCCCTATTGGTGGCAAAGAAAAGTGCTCTGAGGAAGAAACCTGAGCTTCCCATCTCCAGATGCACCAGCTTTGTAAAAATCAGTGTGTTGATATCTAGCAGGCAAATATGATCAAACCCCTTGTTTTCAGAAACTAATGCATAAATGAACTATAGTACCAACATGCTCATCTATCCCATGCAGTGGATGAAGGCTTGATTTACCAGCAGATGCAGCTTTTCGATTTTCTGGACTTTGCTTTGCCTTGGGAATCCGATTGGCATAGTCACTATATATTTATTTAACTGTAGCCAATGAGAAGTACATAAATCTCTATGCTCTGAGAAGCAGAAGGCTGTTAATTGCCAATAAATGAACAAGGATTTGCATAAATTTGCTGTGAATATATCTCAACAACCATACAGATAATCAACAAATCCTTCTAGACAACTGAACATATTTTTTATGGAGTAAAGTAACAGTTTCTCTGTTGGTAAAATGTGCTGAGGCAACTGGAGAATGCCCCTCTCCAATTACCCAAATTTAGGTTTCCTATAATTTCTGCAAAGCAATGCAAAGAAGGACCGTTTCCATGGAGGCCCAGGGGATCTGTTCTGCTTGGCTTAGCGCAGGTAGCTGCATTGTTGTGATTAGGTATTGCAAGGCTTCTGGATATGCTGAGGAATTTCATCCAGCTAGCGGAAATCCAGAGGAGGATTGAGGGAGGAATGACAGAGACAGTCTGGCCAGAAGAGTGGCCGAAGGGATCAGTCTTATTCCTATGCACATCAGGAGTTTAGACAAAAAGCTTTATGTACTCAAAGTGAATGTGGGCCAGAGAATTGGTTGCGTGTAGCTGGAATATCAATGTGTTTTCAATCTCAGGGTGAGAATACCCATCAATGATCAAATTTCTAGAACAAACCCATTTCTTTCTTTGTTAGATTGGCTGTTCTGTAACACTAGTAGTGTATCACCTGTCTTGTTGGACACTCAGTGAATCTGCAGATAGACTGTGAAGCTCTATATTTTTCAGGTCTATGAATATATTACTATTTTACTATAAATAATTACCACCTGCATATAATATTCAAATCTGCTTGTACTTTTCTGTATTATAGTCTTAAACCAAGACATTTGTTTTCCCTTCTGCCTCTGCACATTTATTTTGCAACTTACTTTCATGTCTTCAGTCTTTTTTCAGACTCTTTTCTCGAGTCCCTCATTTTCAAATTCATTTACTGAAGACATAGAACAATTAAGCCTTTCTCCCTTAGTCACATAATTTCTTCAGATAGTTTCTTGGACTTGAAGAATAAAAAGTCATCTTAGATAACTGCTTCAACAGTAGTGTAGTCATGCAAGTTAGTAGAAGATTCAGCCCATGGAGCCTCATCATTTATTGCTAAGGTGCTCTATACAATACCACGCTAGTTATAAGTCATTGTGTTACTTGCCTTACTGCGCAAGGAAATGTGGATTGAATCAGCTATGCCTACTATGTCCTGCCTCAAGCCACTTCTGAGATTAACCCAGCTGTGGCAGTGACAACAGAAATCAACTTTGGTCAAGGCTTTCAAAAAAGGTTCCTGAAATTATGGACTTAATACATTTAAATTGGAAAACTTTTAGGATACAGCTGCTAAAAAATTAGGTCATTACTATTTATGTAATTGTCTGAATGAGAACACAGAGCAGATTCTTCAGAGGAGTCTAAAATACCAGCTCAGCATCTAACTCTTTCAGGCTCTTCTGAGAAGCTAAACTTAAGATCCTAGCTTTCAGCACCCATCTCTGATATTACACAGAGAATATTCTCCTCTAACAATTTTTTCACATCAGAACAGCTTCTTATCCCTGGCTTCCTGATTCAGATTTTTACAAACCAAAGAATTATTCCTGCAGTTTCACTACGTACAGGAAATCCTCTTATCTGTATTCCCCCTATTGGAGTGGTCAGAGATTGATAACAGTGAAAGACAGAACATCAGGTATTACTGTAAAGAGAGTTTTCACGCAGCTGTAGAGCACAACGTATGCACTGAGCTTGTCCAGCTTGTCTGTTTATCCTATCACATTCCTCCAGATGTATAACTTTTAAGATTAATAATTAAATATTCTTCATGAGAGTGATGCAAACTTAAAAACCCAAAAGGGTAAGATGATGGCTTGATATTTGTTTTATGTAAACGAGACATAGATCCTCTCTCTGATCCCAGCCGTAGTGAGGCCACACCTTCTGGTACAGGAAAGTAAGAAATAATGTTCCAAACCGTAGAGAAAGAACAAAATCAAATCATGTCTGACACCGTAAATGAAATAGTTCAGCTACTGATGTAGCTTTATCTTACACAAATCTTGTAACTGAGGAAGCAATCATCTGCGGACTAATCACCCAGGTTGCATAACCCTCTGCATCAGCTCAGGACACTTAAAAGGGGATCCAGGTTTCCTGGTATTTCTGAGGTGTTTTTTCTCCTCACATCCTCTGATGAAAGGCAAGGAATATGGGGGATGGGTTCTGCACTTGATGTTTTAAAACATTAACAATTTGAAAACAGTTTTTAATCTCTGAGGATATTATTCATTGTTTGTCTTCAAAAGGCATAACAGTATGATTCAATACAAATCAACGTTTTGCTCTTTGAGCTGATTTGTTTGAATGAGTTCACTACAGTCCTTCAGCAAAAGTGAAAATTGGATATCAAAGTACAACGACATGCAGGTTGTTTTGCATAGTAATGGATTTTATATAAAAGCTCCCTGAAGTAGGGATGTACCATCTCAGAGCATTTCAGTACAGAAGTTATACAATGGAGTGCCTTGCGATCATATCTTCACTGATTATACCAACTTTTTTCTAACTTGCATAAAGTACAAAATAGAATATAATGAATACATGTTGTGCACAGTTGTCCTGAAAGAGATAATCATGCTCTGTACTAATGGTTTATCTTAAACTTGAAAAAAAGTGCTCAGTTTATTTTGTGGGGTAAACTATAACAGCTGAGGTATTGGTCCTTGTGTGTCAACTTAGAAAATGATTGAAAATAAAAGGTAGGGTTTTTTTAAAGAGTTGGTTTTGATTGTTTTGGGTTTTTTTTTGCTTGTTTGTTTTTTAACTTGTTAACTACAAGGTATTTTTCTGTACTATTCTGCCCTAGGAAGATGTTCATTAGAGTTATTTCTGAAAGCCAGAAGGAAACTTCTGGGTTCAGAGAGATACCCCCACAATAGATCAGGAAATAGGACAGGCACTTGGGAAGAGCACAGATTCAGATCTAAATGTCTGTTTTGCCTGTGTCAGGTTTATGAACCTCAGCTGCTAATTCTCACCAATGTTTTAGATAGTCTTGATGGAACTGTCTTTATGTGTCCTGTTGGGTCTTTTTGGCTTCATGTAACTGATTTGAGTTAGGCAAAAATGAGTACCTAGACACCCAGGCAGCTGTGGATTCTGAGGAAGAATTTCTTTCACACAATTCACACAAAATACATAAAAAGTTTTCATCAGAGAATGGAGGGGGGGAAAAAAAAAGGAACATTGAGATTTTTCATGAGATAAGGTTTCCATTTCCCGGCTGGTTCTCATCAAAATCAGCTTGCTAGTACACAGCTCCTGTACAGAGATATACCATGTGATTTATAAGGAAATAGCCAAGGAAATACTATAGACAGTGGTAAAAATTGAGATTGTTTTCTATATATACCGGAGTGAAAATACAGCCTTATAAATCCCTTATAACTGCTCAGCATGGCTTTAAAGTGCTGCCAGGTGAGATCATTCAGCTAAGAAAATGATCACTGCAATGAAAGAAATAAGGTCTTGATTAAATTAAAAAGTAGTGTTGGATTTTGTCATTCCTAAGGTTTGCTTCAAAACAAAACATTTCAAGCCAGAGAAAAACTGATCTAAAGGTGCGACCGGTTTTACAGAGACACCACAGCTTCACACAATAACTTAGGTTGGAAGGGATCTCTGGACTTTCCAAGTCCAGCTCCTCTTCAAAGCAGGGCCAAACTCAAAATTTGGTCCAGGTCCATGGGGCCTTGCCCAATGAATTTTGAACATTTCCAAGGATGGAGCTACTACAGTCTCTCTGAGCAACCTGCTATACTGCTTAGTTGCATCTCTTTTTCTTATATCAAACAGAAATTTCCTTTGCTGCAACTTCTGACTGTTGCCTTTTGCCCAGGCAATAATTCCTGATATAGACCATCTAATAATTCTTATTAGATGTGGATAGCACAAGCATCCCCAGGGTCAACAACCTCTACCTTATTTCTGTCCAGTCAATTTTTTGGTGATGTTTTGTTTCCAGAATATCTAATAAGAATCTTTTATTCTTTTTATTTTTTTTTCTACTACACCATAGAAAACAATTCTTGAAATGATGTTGCATGCTCTGTGAAGAATATTAATTTATCCTCCCAATAGTTCTACCTGAGAGTTAATTTACCTTGCTTCAGGCCTTTATTTTGTAGCAAAATTGCTGGAAGGCTTCCGTTCTCTCTAGTCTGTCTGCTTGACTAATCACTAGGTTCTAATTTAATTCACTTGACTACAAATTGCTTTCACCTACCTGCTTCAGCTTTTTGCTGCTTTTCAATCTTTTCCAGTCTCCCTAGCAAGGAGTCAATTTTTGTTTTGATTTGGGTTAATTCCTTCTTGATTGTTTGTAACTCATCTGATTTCACTGTGGAAAGAGAGCAAAGATGCAAAACATGAAATAAAATATATTTGCAGCCCCCCATGAACAAAACATTTTATTTTTTCATTCCTCTGTAGTACAAAGTCTACTCTCTCATTTCTGTCAGTATTTTTAGAGATTTAACTGTTAAAATGAACATTGTTAGTTAAAAATGCTGAACCCTGGGAAATCACAGGATTCTAAGCCCTGATGACAAGAGGTTACGTGAGGTGTATTGCTCTGTAATAAGCATTTCAAGCAAAACATCTCAAGGGCATTCTTAGTAAATCCAAGTAACTTTTACTGAAAAACAGCCTATAGTGAAAGAACAATTCAAATATGACAGACAGTTCACAGTCTTGCAATGCCATTTCACTGGACGATTTTGTAATAATAGCAGCAATAATAAAAAGATCCCTCACAGTAGCAGTACATATTTTTCAACAAGAGTGTATGGTAACGTAAATGCTAGAGCAGCCAGGAGTGCAATGTTATGTTCCAGTCAACAACTTCATTGCAATATGTGTTAAGTATTAGTGCTCCAAAAGCTTTCGGTTCTGGTAATTTCTTGTACTTTTTCCAGCTATGGATAACATATGGAAATATTTCTTTTTATGATCACATCCAGGGACATGGAGGCAATGCTTATAAATTAAGAGCTGAAGTTTCCAAATCTTTGTGGCATTGCATTACTCTTCATTTATGTTCATTATTGACACCCATTATCTAATGTGAGAAGGAGTAATTGCTTTGGAGGTGTTTTGGCTTCAGAAGAAACAGCACTGCAGCACTCATGAATGACCACATTATTATGGCATTATCAGGACATGTTTTTATGCTCAGAAGATAGTCCAAACAAATATACTTGCCCTGTGTGTGCTAGGATATCATGTTGAAAAGACCAAGAGGAGAAAATGGGAACCCTGTGCTAGCATGGGAGAATAAAGCCATTTGTAAAGGTCAAGAGTAGATAACAACAGCTGTCACTCTTACAACTTTTGTAGGAAGAAATAGGGCATCACCTTAAACTCTGAGGGACCAGCAATGGAAGAGCACTGGGCAGTATTACCCATCCATCCTCACCATTGCTGAAGGAGTATGTGCATTGACTTTGGTGTGCGTATCCAGAGCAATGGTAGGGCCCTTAGTGAAACTGGGAAAAGAGATATTCTGCCATGGAGAAGACATGTTTGCTTTCTGTCCAAAGAGTCTCCTGGCTGCACCTTGCCGTATCAGTCCCATTTATTGACTCTTGGGCATGTATCTCATCATGGTGTCTTATAGCTATTTTTTGTCGGAGAGTCAAAATCTGATGATGTAGCATGCAGGCAAGCTACTCCCTGCTTCAGTGGTAATAAATGAGTATGTGTTTACTTCAAAATCAGCCTTATTGCAAACTTGGAGCACATTCACTGAGGTTGAAAACAAGGTTTTTTATCTTACAGTTTGGGTCCTGTGCATTATAGTTATAACAAGTCAGCTAAAGGCAGTAGGTTGCTATATGTGGTAAGGAACTTGTTTAATCATGTGAGAAATTGTGTACCTCACACTATCACAGGCTGAAGCTGCTGATCACATGTTGAATGAATGGTAGGACTTAGAGAACAAAGCTGAAAAGTAACCTTTGTGCTAGACCCTTATACGCTATACAGTATTTGGTGGAATTATTCTGTATATTTATAGAGCAAGGCCTTAAAATGTTCTTAGAGAAATAACGGGTCACTGTCCAATCCCCCAGATCTGTAACAAAATGTTAAGATTCTGACAACTGTATATTTAGAAGGTCACTGCTTCCCTAGAGGCAGTGGCTGGTCCATGCTGGAGTAGCAAGGCAGCACAGATTCCAGGGTGAAATGGTGTGAATCTGTCCAATGGGGAACGCCAAGTGTTTGCAGTAACCCGCTACGAAGCCAGTTGGCAACACATCCTGTGCGGCCAAGCTGTCGTGTTAGACGTGGTCCCTTGACTGGCAAACAGCAGGCTTGCCAAGGCTAAAAGGTCAAAAGTCAGAAGCAGCACCGCAGGGACCTAGTGGTGTTTGTTCTCAGTCTAAAAAAACAAAGAAGAAAACGTTTGTACTTTGGAGTTTGGTAAGGAAACAGGCACACACGTAGGGTTACTGTTCAACTTAGGTCAAACCTCCTGCTTCACAGAGGCTTCCCTGTTGTGTCTTAGTGAGAAACCAGTTTAGGAAGAAGACTGCACCAGAGGCAACACAGAAATGACAGTGAGGATTCAATAACAAATAAAGATGCTATGAATGACTGAGGAGCTTTATTGCTACCTTGCAAAATTCTCCTATGCCAAAACTGTTTCCTCAAGCTTTGGTCACTGAATCTGCAACTTATCATTCACATTTAATGAGGTGATTCCATCAGACAGTCAATCACTTCAAGTTAACACTAAAAAGGACTGAAAGAAAAAAAGGGAAACATTTTCAACAAATCTGTACAAATTCCAAATTTTCACCCTGTTTTCAATATTGTGATGGTGTAATTATTTGAGTTGCTTATTGTCTTAATTTGCAGGGAATTGTGCAAATCTTCAAAATCATTCTCGTCCAGAAATTCCACTTTCAGTTATATTTTACTGAGTATTTCTGTAGTAAGCAGCAATTACTAAAGACAAATTGTGAAAGCTTCTGATGGACAACAAGCTGAGTATGAGCCAGCAATACACCCTTGTGACAAAGAAGGCCATGAACATCCTGGGCTGCATTAGGCGGAGTGTTGCAGGCAGGTTGACGGAGGTGATCCTTCCCCTTGTCGTGGTTTAACCCCAGCCAGCA